AATCCTCACCACTGGACCAATAAACAATATTCTTATCAATGGAGAAAAGATTGAAGTTGTCAAGGACTTCATTCTTCTTGAATCAACTATCAACACTCATAAGCACCAATCAAGAAATCAAAAGGCGTATTGCATTAAGCAAATCTGCTGCACAAGGCCTTTTTAAAGTGTTGAGGAGCAAAGATGTCAGCCTGAGGACTAAGGTGCACCTGACCCAATCCATGGTATTTCCAATAACTTTATATGCATGCGAAAGCTTGAATAAGGAAGACCGTAGAAGAACTGATGCTTCTGAGTTACGGTGTTGGAGGAGAATACTGAAAGTGCTATAGGCTTCCAAAAGAACCAACAGATCTGTGCAGCCAGAGTTCTCTTTGCAGGCCAGGATGACCAAACTTCATCTCTCCTACTTCGGACATATTGTCAGGAGTGACCAGTCTCTGGAGAAGGATATCATGTTTGGTAAGGTGGAGGGTCAGAGAAAAAGAGGAAGACCCCCAGCGAGACGGATTGGCAAAGTAGCAGCATCAATGGGCTCATGCTTGGCAACAATAGTGAGGTCGGCCCAGGATCGGGCAGTGTTTCGTTCTGCTGTACATAAGGTCGCTATAAGTCAGTAATGACTTGAAGGCTGCTAACAACAACAAGGAAAAGTTTTAAGTTACATAGTTAATATACTGTTGTTAAGTTCCTTCGAGTCGATTCCAACTCTTTCAGTGATATGCAATACAATGATAAGAATTAAGGTTACATGAATGAAAAACATGTTTTTTATAGACATTCATTCAGAGACTTAAATTGAAAGGAAGAGACCTTCGTTTGAAATTGTTCATTATTTTTCATATGTACCCAATCAATAAAATAATGGGTTACCTTCAGATAACTGAAGCAATCTGCCTTCTTTAAAACTAATCTGCTTCCCTTTCAAAACAAAAAGTCATTGTGCTAAATTTGGATTAAGTCTGAAAAACTAGTGAGTTAATATCTGTAAAAGTTTAACTAGTGCTTTGTTGTTGTTGTTGTTGTTGTTGTTGTTGTTAGTACCATCAAGTCAATTCTAATTCATAGCAACCCTGAATAAGGTTTCCGAGGCTTTAAATCTTCACTGGATCAGAAAGACTCCTCTTTTTCTCAAGGGTTGATTGGTGGGCTCGAACTGCAGATGTTGTGGTGTGCAGTCCAGTGTTTATCGTTTGTAATCACTGCCCTCCCCAACTGGTGCTTTAGCTAAAATAATAATGTTTTAATTAATATATACTTGAGTCTTTAGAAAGTTAACGACAGACACAAAAGAGAATTTCAAGTATTATATTTATTGTAAATGTATTTGCATATGTATATATACACAAACCAATTTAAAAAAAAAAAAAGAATGAAATTCAGTTAATAAACTTATTATTAAACTTTATTATTAAAGGTTATGAAAATTTTTATGTTTAAAATTGTACTGTCCATACCATTTCTTCCATAGTAACAATTCCTTTTTTTAGCACTGCTGGGTATATAACTCACAGATACCACAGATACCAAGTTCCTTTGAAAATATTAGTGACAACAGAGACATGATCCAGCACACCTTAGTAAATGTAAACATTCTAAAGGATATTCATAACAAACTTTGAAAACACAGATTTTAGACTTAATTTTAAAGTGCTCATGAAATTCTTAAGTGGTTTTATAACAGTTCAATTGATTAAAATAATAATAATTTTTTCTTCTTTATTATAGCCAAGAATCAACAGAACCTCAGATTAAATTTATTAAATACTTCGTACCTTAAATCTTATAATTTAAAATAAGTATGCTATTGTAAAGGGATGCCATGCTTCAACATGATTCTTAATAAAAATTCTAATATTAAATTAATTTTCTAATATTCATTGTCTACAGCTGATCATAAAAATGGAACTAATAATTGTGTGTGAATATACACACATGCTTTAATTTATTCTTTTAAAATAATATTCTGACATCCTAATTGTGGCTCTTGTGCAATCTTCTGAAGACAACAATGATTGTTAGTCCATGCAAGATGAAAAAGATTAATTATTGACAGATAATTAGTGCATTTTCACAGGTATTAGATTATAACCTGTTCAACCAGAATGTATATTAATAATAACTAAAGTCAACAATTCAGAAAAACATTTAAGCACATAATGACAAAACTTAATCTAATACTGTTGATTTGAGAATCATTACAATCACATATTCAAAATAACATAATCCATGTTAAGTACATTAACCTCATAGGTGATCTAATAAACTTTATTCCGTGATGGAAAGAGAAGCTTTATCCCAAATTCCCTGGCTTCAATGCATTTCCTTGTTTTTCTCAATTCCTACTACCTAGTTCCTGTTTCATTCATAGTTGCAACAGGAAGAAAGGCTTATCAAGAAAACATCAGGAAAAAAGAAAATTGTATTAGCTCAGTTCCCTGAAGACATCAGCAAAAGGAAGAGGGGAAGTCAAGTGAGAGAACTATATAATGGAGGTGCAGGAGCACGACGAGCAGGAACTAAATTTCCCTGAGATGATATTTTCGGTTGAGGTGGAGGTGGCCTGTAGGAGGGAAAAAAATAGTCAGTAGTCTGTTTATATTGACTGCTTAACAAGCTCAACATACTTTACATTCTAAGATTATTGTTTGTCATGTATTGAATTGTGTCTTCCCAAAATATGTGTTGCAAATCCTAACCTCTATGCCTGTGGTAATAATCCCACCCGGGTAAAGTTTGTCTTTGCTTTGCTAATGAGACAAGATTGATTAAGGTAAGGTATGTTGTTTCTGTTAAGTGCTATTGAATTAGTTCAGACTCACTTTTTTATTTTGTTAAGAGCTGTGGAATTGATTCTGACTCATAACTATCCCATAAAGGGTTTCTGAGGAGCAGCTGGTAGTCCTGCACCTCCACTTTGTGTTTCAAATCAATCTTGTGGTCCAGTGCTTATTCTATATAGCGCCACACCAGGACTCCATTGATATGAATGAATATGAATAGCATACTAAAAACGTCTTACTTAGCTAGTGCTTCTATAAAAGAAATACAACAAGTGAATGGCTTTAACAAACCGATTCATTTTCTCAGTTTAAGAGGCTATAAATCCAAACTCAGGGTACTGGCTTTCAGGGAAGGTTTTCACTCTCTTTGTTGGCTCTGGGGGAAGATCCTTATCTCCAGCTTGTATCTTGTCTCCTTGGAGATCTCCATGCTGTTTGGCCTAAATCTAACCCATCTCTGCTTGTTTTTTTTTCCCTAATGAGCTTAGCTTATATCTCAAAAGAGGTGCTTTGATGGAATTAATGAATATCTTACTAATATTCATTAATTCATAATTTGTTATCAGAACTTTATAGCTCCTATTTTGTACCTGTTATTGTAAACTCCACTAATCTACAACCCTTGATTTTAGAATTCAGAATATTCTCTTTTAGAGAATGAAATGGAATAACTACCTCCCAGTTTAAAGTGTTGTTGTTGTTGTGTGCCATGGAGTTGGTTCGGACTCATAGTGACCCTGCACAGGGTTTCCGAGCCTGTAAATCTTTACGGCAGCAGAAAGCCTCATTTTTCTCCCGCGAAACAGCTGGTAGTTTCAAACTGATGACCTTGTGGTTCACAGCCTGATTCGTAACCACTACGCTACCAGAGCTCCTTTAAATTAGTGTTTAATTAGTTTAAATTAGTGTTACTCTATTAACAATAAGGAGTCCTGATGGCACAATGGATTAAGCATTGGGATGCTCACTACATTGTCAGCAGTTCAAACCAACCAGCTACTTTGTAGGAGAAAGATGAAGCTGCCTAGTCCTGTAAACATTTACAGTCACAGAAACCCTATGAAGTTATTATAAATTATCCTATATAAAAATCATCACCAGTGGACTAATAAACAACATTCTTATGAACGGAGAAAACATTGAAGTTGTCAAGGACTTCATTCTTTTTGGATCATTACGCAAATCTGCTGCACAAGACCTTTTTAAAGTGTTGAAGAACAAAGATGTCAGCTTGAGGACTAAGGTGGCCTGACCCAAGCCATGGTATTTTCAATAACCTCATATGCATGCAAAAGCTTGACAGTGAATAAGGAAGATCGTAGAAGAATTGATGCTTTTGAGCTATGGTGTTGGAGGAGAATACTGAAAGTGTCATGGGCTGCCAAAAGAACAAGCATATCTGTGTTGGAAGAAGTGCAGCCAGAGTTCTCCTTGGAGGCCAGGATGGCCAAACTTCATCTCTCATACATCAGACATATTGTCAGGAGGGACCAGTTGCTGGAGAAGGACATCATGTTTGGTAAGGTGGAGGGTCAGAGAAAGAGAGGAAGACCCCCCAGCGAGATGGATTGGGCAAGTGGCAGCATCTATGGACTCAAGCATGGCAACAGTTGTAAGGTTGGCCCAGGATCGGGCAGTGTTTCGTTCTGTTGTGCATAGGGTCACTATGAGTATCGACTCGATGGTACCTAATAACAACATATGGTTGCTATGGTCAGAATCAACTCAATGGCAGTGGGTTTCAATTTTAGATTTGGTATATCAACAATGTTCCATGGAGGTTCTAATTTGTATTTTTTAAAAGAATGGTATATGATATCGTAAAGCCAAATTATTAAGACACAAGTGCAAAATATGAAATGGATTAAGTACTCCTTATGCTATTAGAATTTAAAAGCAACAAATTACTGCTAAAGGAGCCCTGCTAGCACAGTGGGTTACATGTTACGCTGGTTTAACCACAAGGTCTGTAGTTCAAGTCTACCAGTTACTCCACTTTATGCTCCCATAAAGATTTACAGCCTCAGAAACTCTATACAGGGTTTTTATGAGTTGGAACTCACTGGTGGCTTGCAGCAGCCACAAAAATACTGCTTAACCTAACTCTATGTTTACAGACACAGAGATGAAGTTCCAACTAAACTCAAACATAATATCCAGTCTGAAAACAAAATTTGCTGTTATTTCTACATTGGTCCATCTTAACCTCATACTTCAATCTGTGGTGGTAGTGGTGGTGGTTGTGTGCCATGGAGTCAATTGAGACTCATAGTGACCCTGAATAGGGTTTCACAGGCCGTAAACTTTCACAGGAAGCAGAAAGCCTCAATTTTCTTCCACAGATCAGCTGGTAGTTTCAAACTGCTGATGTTGAAGTTAACATCCTGACTCATAGCCACCTGTGGACACCTTCAATAATCTTTTCATCCAATTTTAGTATACCTCTGTGGTGCTCTGGGTTAATGCACTGGATCGGTCCCCCTGTTTATGTATTCTTTCCTTGATCCTCAGTTGTATTTCAATGTATTATTACTGCACAATAAAGATCATATACGAAGACACTCCTCAGTGTTGCAACCCAATTGTAATTTTAAGAACTTGTTGTTCTGTTTGGGGAGATGGGGTACACTTTATGTGGAGTCCTGGTATGGCGCTGTAGGATCAGCATTGGACTACTAACCATAAGGCTGGTGATTCAAACTCATCAGCTGCTCCTTGAAAACTCTATATAGGATCGCTGTGCGTTGGAACCAACGTCACAGCACCTAACAATAACAACAACACTTTATGTGACACATATGTAGTGATAAATTTCTCCTTTGCTGCTGATTTAAAAAACATCCATTAAGTCATGAATTTTAGTTCTTGTGTTTTCAGTTTGGGAATTTACATATAAATTTTGTATAGTTTTCAGTCCTATGCTGAAATGATCAATTTTGACTTTTAATTCCATAGACACATTTATCACAGCTATTTTAAAGTCCATGGCTGTTGTCTCTATTAATTTATCCTGAGTCTATTTCTATAATATGTTGTTTTTCTTGGTTTCAGTCTCATTTTCTTTTCTCTTTTCTTATATATTTGGTTTTTGCTTTCTTTTGAGAGTCAATTAAAAAATATATAGAAATACACAGAGGTTTTTGTTTACCCCTATCCTTAGGTCCCAACACAAAGTCAGAGATGTTTCCCAGGGCACTTTCTCCTTTGCAAGATTCCAAGTTTTGCCTCCTCTGCCCCATGAGTTAGTTGAACGTTCTCCTTAGCTTCCTCTCAGCTGTCACCTCCAGAACAAAATGATGCAGGGAGAACAAAAAAGTGGCCCTAGAAGCTGGACTCATTATGGGCTTCCTTCCTGTTCTAGACCTTAGTCCCACAATTCCTCACTTTGCTGGTAGCTCCTTAAAGTCTTCAAACACATAGTTTTTTTATGTTGTCTAGCTTTTCTAGCTGTTCTCACTGAGATGTCTAGTTCATACCATCTGGCTTCCTATTGCCGATCATTTTAAAGGCCCTTGCTACTTAATCCTATGCATACCAAAGGCTGTAGCAGATTGTATGTCTTGCTCAAGCTTCCTTAAATTTCATTTTGACATTTTACTGAACTTACATAAAAGTTCCTCAAAAGCCTTTCTTAGTGATCTCTAAACTGTTGTCAATAAATATCTTGTCTGAAAATACAAAGGAACGGATTAGATATTAACTCTCATTCTTTATTCAGATCAAGTAATCTAAAAAATTTCACTTCAAACCTTGATGGGTACGGCTGAGGTTGCTTGGCTGCATAGTTTGGTACTGGAAATCTGTTTGCATATACAGTCTAAAAAGTTAAAAAGAAAAAAAAAGTCATTAGCATAATGTATTCATGAATGCCTTCTATATATTGTGCTATTTTCCAATATAAGTAATCATATACTTAAAACCAATAAATGAACTCCTTCTTTATAATTATGAAATTTTAACAGTTTATATATTCAGCATATCTTTATCAGCAAATATGAATACTAACTAGGACTAAAGTATAAATAAACTTAGTTCAAATCAATTACATTAATTCAAAGGTTAACATGTACCCTATGTTAACATATTTTAAATAAAGTCTTCCAAATCTTTGTTGCAAAATCTATATAGCTATCATTTTGTATTTAACCAGTACTATATGTGGCACTGTGGGTTAATGCGCCAGACTGCAAAGCTGTTTGAACTGCGAGCTCAGCAGTTCAAGCTTACCAATCGCTCCTCGGAAACCCTATACAAGGTCGCTATGGGTCGGAATCGACTCAACGGCACTTAACAACAACAACATAAGTATCACTAAGGAGCTCTGGTAACGTAGTGGTTATGAATCGGGCTGCGAACCACAAGGTCAGCAGTTCAAAACTACCAGCTGTTCCGTGGGAGAAAGATGAGGCTTTCTGCTCCCGTAAAGATTTATAGCCTCAGAAACCCTGTACAGGGTCGCTATGAGTAGGAACCAACTCCACGGCACATAACCACCACCACCATAAGTATCACTAATCCATAATCCTTGATTTTGGAATGCATGGTATTCTTCCTTGACAAGGTAAATGAAATAAAGTTTTACAGCAAAGCCAAACTTTATAACACACTCCCAAGTAAGACAGTAAAAGTGAAAATGTCTACCATACCCTACCTGACAATAGGAAAAGTCAGGGGAAATCAGATGGAATTTTTAGAGCAGTAATTTAAAAAAACAAAAAACAATCCAATAGCAAAATGTTCTCTAATATTTAATGCTAATTCTTAAAGTTCTGTGAGATGCTGAGTATGCAGACTACTGGAGAAGAACTTTGAGCATTCTATGTACAATACTGTGGAACAGGTAGTCTATCGCCTGCTATTTTTTGCCCCATAGGATAATGTACATGTACAAGTGAAAATAGAGAACATACAGAAAGGAAGCAAAAGATCATTAAGAAAACAAGAAAGAAAGGATCAATATGGATGTCAGAAGAGAGTCTGAAATTTGCCCTCCAGCATAAAGCTGCTAAAGCAAATGGAAGAAATGAGGAAGTAAAAGAGCTGAATGGAAAATTTCAAAGGGCAGCTTGAGAAGACAAAGTCAAATATAAACAAATATGCAAAGATAGATGCTCAATCATTTCAAGAAGTAGCATAAGATTAAGAGCCAATGATATGGAAGGAAGAAGTCCAAGGTACACGGAAGGCATTGACAAAGAAGAAGCCTCTGGGAATTGATAGAATACAAACTGAAATCTTTCAACAAACTGAGGCAGCACTGGAAATACTAACTCATCTATGCCTAGAAATCTGGAAGACAGCTACCTGGCCAATTGACTGGAAGAGATCCATACTTGTGCTTATTCCAAAGACAAGCTAATCAGAAATCATTGTAAAATATCATTAATTATCACATGCAAGCAAAATTCTGCTAAAGATCATTTTAAAATGGCTCCAACAGCACATTGACAGGGAATTTCCTGAGGTTCAATTCAGATTCAAACGAAAATGTAAAACAACAGATACCATTGTTGACATCATATAGACCATGGTTGAAAGCAGAGAAAAACTAGAGAGATGTTTATCTGTACTTTACTGACTATACAGAGGCTTTCAACTATGTGCTTCATGACAATCTATGTACAACACTGTGAGTATTCAGGAACACTTAACTGTGCTCATGAAGAACCTGTGCCAAGAAGCAGTCATTCAAACAGTACAGAGATGCTAAAGCAAATGGAAGAAATGAGGAAATCAAAGAGCTGAACACAAAATTTCAAAGGGCAACTCAAGAAAACAAAGTCAATTATTATAATGAAATGTGCATGTAAAGATCTGGAGTTGGAAAATGAATAGAGAAAAGCCACTTAGCACTTGTCAAGCTGAAATAACTGAAGATAAAATTCAAGCCTCAAATTGCAATATTGAAGGTTTCTTTGCGCAAAATATGGAATGCTGCAGAAAGTATCAAAAGAGGATGAAAGGAAAACAGAGTCACTGAACCAAAAAGAAATAGACAATGCTTGATCACTTCAAGAGACAGCATACAAACAATGGTACAGAAGAAAGAAGACCAAGGTGCACTGAAGGCATTCACAAAGAGCAAGGCTCCTGAAACAGATGCAAAGCAAACTGAAATCCTTCAACGAACTGATGTAGCACTAGAAGTACTCTATGCCAAAAAATTTAGAACACAGTTATCTGGCCAACTGATTGGAGGAGATCCATATTTGTGCCCATTCCAAAGAGAGGTGACCTAACCGAATGAGGAAATCATATAATATCATCAATATTATATGCAAATAAAATTTTTATAAAGATATTCCAAATACAGCTGCCTGAGTCAGATGAGGACATGAAACAAAGGATATCATTGCTGATACCAGATGGATCTTGGCTGAGAATACTAGAAAGATGTTTGTTTATACTTTATTGACTATGTAAAGGCTTTCAAATGTGTGGATTATGACAAGATATAAACAACATTGCGGAGTTGTTTGTTCATTGCGGAATGAGTATTCCAGGATACTTAGGAGGAACCTGTAAGTAGAACAAATGGCAGTCTTTCTAACAGAACAAGGGGACACTGAATGGTTTAAAATTAGGAAAGATACGTGCTAGGGCTGTATTCTTTCACCATACTTATTCAATCTTTACACTGAACAAATAATCGGAGAAGCTGAATTATACAAAGAAGAACGCGGTATCAGGATTGGAGAAATGCTTATTAACAACCTGTGATATGCAGATGATACAACCTTGTTTTCCGAAAGCGAAGAGGATTTAAAATACTTACTTATAAAGATAAAAGATCACAGGCTCCAGTATAGGTCATAGCCCAATAAAAGAAAACAAAAATCTTCATCACTGGAACAATAAATAACATCATGTTGAATAGAGAAAAGATTGAAGTTGTCAAAGATTCATTTTTCTAGGATCCACTATCAACACTCATGGAAGCAGCAGTCAAAAAATCAAATGACAGATTCCATTAGGCAAATCTGCTCTATAATACCTCTTTAAAATATTCAAAAGCAAAGATGTCAGTTTGAGGCCTAAGGTGTCATGGCATTTTCAATAGCTTCATATGCATGTGAAACTTAAACAGTGAGTAAAGAAGGCCATAGAAGAACTGATGAATTTACGTTAAGGTGTTGGATAAGAATATTAAAAGTGCCATGGACAGCTAAAAAGACAAACCAAATATGTGTTGGAAGAAGTATAGCCAGAATATTCTTTAGAAGCCAGGATGGTGAGACTTGGTCTCACAAACTTCAGAAATATTATCAAGAGGAACCAATCCTTGGAGATGGATATCATGCTTGTTAAAATGGGGGGCTAGCAAAAAGATGGAGACCCCAACAAGATGGACTAGCACAACGGCAGAAGCAATGGGCTTAAGCTTAACAAAGATTCTGAGGTTTGTGCAGGACCAGGCATTGTTTTGTTCTGTTGTGCAAAAGGTCACTATGAGTTGGAGCTGATTTGATGGCACCTAACAACAACATCTTGCGGTCTAATGCTTATCTTACAGCATCATACCAGGACAACAACAACAACACTTTCTGAGACAATTAAGCCTCTTGAGTAATTCAGCACCAGCTCTTTGGTAGTATGTCCTACATAAGCCAGATATTAAAATATAAAACAGCACTGCCAAAAAAGTAACATAATGACAGCAATCAATTCATACTTATCGATAATTACATTGAATGTCAATGGATTGAATGCACCAGTGAAGAGACAAAGAGTGGCAGAATGGATAACAAAACAAGATCCATCAATAAGCTGCCTGCAAGAAACACATCTTATACACAAAGACAAAAAAACAGACTAAAAGTTAAAGGATG